TAGCTAGGACCATGAAATTTCGCGCTGTTTTCACTCATTATCAACAGAAGACTTACAGCGAAAATAACAAAGATCGGGTCACTATAACCTGCAGCCCCCATACAACTGATTGTTCAGATATGAGGTCTTTTATCATAACTCCTCCATTTATGCAGCTAGGAACATGAAATTTCGCACCATTTTCACTCATTATTAACAGAATACTTACAGTGAAAATAACAAGGATCGGATGACTACAACATATATCTTCCATACATCTGATTGTTCAGATATGGGATTTTACTGTAAAACTCCTTTATTTGAACAGCTAAAACCGATAAATTTCGTAAGATATTTTATAAATAATAATACAAAGTCTACTGAGAAAATCGTCAAAATCTATGCTGTATAAGCTTTATCTCCTATAGCACTGATTGTTAAGATACCAGTTTTTGTCATATATCTCCTTTATGTACGAAACTAAACCCAATAAATTGTGTTACCGGTTTACATACCGATCACATAGCGGTGAAAATCACTTAGATTGGTGCTATATAAAGTATATCTTCCATACCTCTGATTGTTTAGATGCGATTTTTTATATAAGTATGTAACTCCTCTATCGATGTATGCAGATGTATTCAAAAGTAGTAATCTGTCAAAGTAAAATTTGCAGATGTTCATGAAAGGTATGAAGCCTTCGGCATAGCCGAAGACAGCGCTGCTCTTACTTGTTACTAACTACTTTTGGACATAAAATGTCAATAGCAAAAACCAAATTTTTTTTTATTTTATTCTTATTTTTTTTATTTACTTTATTTTATTACATTTCATATTTGTTTCCATATTCTGCTGTAGGTGGTCCCATATTCGGACTCCGTCAGACATAACTTGAAAGTGATAATATGAAATTTCGATCTTCCTTTTATTTGTCCTCAATTCGAAAAAGTATTTGCGAAGTGCAGGATATTAAAATAAAACGCGTTTAAAGAAAACAATCTCGAGCTTAACTCCTGCATTACTTTTCAACTAGTTTCAAGTTAGCTTTTTGTAGCTAACAAAAAGTTATATATTTTATAGAAATCCTGCAAAAAATATAACTACAAGTGGGTTATTTTTTATCAATTGATAATTTTCTTCTGCAGGGTATATTTTTATGTTTTCACCCCTAGGATTCTTTTATACAGAAAAAATATATATCCTACCCAAAAAATATTTAGAGGTCGTTGAAAGCGCTTAAAGCATGGAAAACTTTCCATGTATTGTATATGAAAAAAAACACCATTTCTTAGAAATAGTATAGAATTCTTAAAAATCCATACTTTTCGCTCTGAAAACTCTGTTTCTCTGTAGGAGATTCCCAATAATAATATCAAATCTCTTTTTTAAGCATTTTTTTATATTAACTATAATTTATGGGTCCGCCCAAAAACCCCCAAAAAAAAAATCGTTAGTATTAAAAAATGGTTAAATAAACAATTTGATATTACTACTGAAAGTCTCCGGAAAGTCCGGAGTTTTCCGATCGAGAAATATTGATTTTCAAGAATTATATGCCATTAATACGAAAGTTTGTTTTTACCCATTGGAAAACTTTGAGCGCTTTGAGCGACCTCCAAATATTTTTGATTTTAAAATAAAAAATAGGGGTCTGCTTTTCTTCGATATAGAACAATCCTAGGGGGTGGGCGCATTAAAATTCCGACTTTACTCTTTTTAGACCACCCTAATGTACATGATCATATTGAGAAATTAAAGAGGGTATGATCTGAGACATTACGTTGCACCTATTTATGTAAATATATGTATGTATGTAAATTGGGTTTAAGCTTAGAATCAGTTTTTCCGCTTTTTCGACTCTTTCTTTCTTTAACTTTTGTGTCAAGTATGGGATAAGTAGTATAATAACCATAAGTGTACTCTTGAAACCAAGCTCTGAATTGTCTTAATTTCAAGCACTATATCCTTAAATAAAATATAAAAATATCGCTTTTAAAATATCAATTTTCTTAACGAGAAAAAAGAGGAACGTCCGAAACGCAGCGCCCGCCAGCAACGAACATATCGCACACCGTCTTCAAAAGAGTCACAAGTTGTAACACAGCTCAAGCAAAACCACAAGCAAGCAAGACTACAGTTTGCAGAACAAAAAAATAAGAGTTCTGGTTGCATGAATGGGATAACGTTATTTTTAGCGTTTATCTAACTTAGACGGACCCGATGGTAAAATGAAGTATTGGAGAGATATTCGCCGAGAGAGAGACAGACATGCTTGAAGGGAAAGTCACCAATTTGCTTCATATCAACAAGAATGAATTCCCAAATGTATGTTGAACTCATCGACAATGTACTAATCAATTTTGGTGAACATTTTTGGGACTTAACCAACGGGACAATGCCGCCATTTGTGTTTTTTACTTAACGAAAACGTTCTTTGAGACCGGAAAATTATCTAAAAATACCTATCTTTGATGATCTATTATAACAACATATAAAAAACGAAAACCAACTACAATTTATAAATACAGTTCCACTTCAGCAGAAAAGGTTCAACATAATTTTTAAATTTAAAGTTATTTTTGTAAATGGGGAGTTAAATAAAGCCTTTTCAATTCGCAAACGAACAACACCAAAAACAACCACATTAGCAATGCTATTGTAATATTTTATACACCCCGTGTTAAAATTATAAGAGCGCGACATATTGACGTTTTAACAATTCGATTTTTATCAATTTAATTTAATTACCTTTTAATAAAAATATAGTTTATTCTTCACCTAAAACCGTAAAAAAATACAAGTTTAAAACTTTGTGCAATATTAAAAAAAAAATCAACAAACATTCGTAAAAATTTCAAGTTTTTTTATTAGATATGTATGTATCTTAGAAAGATTCAATTTTAATAATAAAGTGCAAGCTTGAAGTAGCTAAGGCTTACGGTTTTTTTTAACATTTTTTTTGCTGACGATGTTGTGCACTTCTTCAATACAAAATACATACATATGTATGTATGTATGTTCGACGATTTTTTATGTGGACCAAAATTAGCTTGTATATATAAAGATTAACGAAAATTAAATAACTATAAATTTATTGTTAGAGTATGTAGGTTCAGTGCAATTAATTTCTGATTTAGAAGTAATTGAAAACAAAAATAAAGGCTTTTCTGTGCAGTTTTGTTTTTAATACCAATTAGTAGCGTACTCAACCCAAATGGAATTTTGAAGAAACTTAAATTATTGTAAGTATATTGGTAGTTATTTAGTTTCAAACACATGTCTTCAATTCTTCTTTATAAGCCAGTGCTACCTCTACATAGGTACACGTATGGAATTATGTTAAGAATGCATATACCAGATTCTAAGAATTACGAATGGGAGCCTTAATATGAATATTACCATTGTTCCGCAGCACAGATAACAGTTTCACATCTTTTTCATTTTGCTAATGAAGAAAAATGCCACCAAGTTAATGTGCCACGGCAGCTGCAACGTTGCAATACAATGCGAATACGCAAATGCTAAGCCATCATAAGTACTAAATCATTATTTGTCTGCCTCCAACTATTTTGGTCAACAATTTCGCAAACACCCACACAAAAAACGGATAGATGTAAAGGCACTACTCACACACAAACCTACTAGTTGGCGGTGAAAAAAGCGGCCATGTCCTTTGATAATGAAGTTGCTTGCGAACGAGGCTGCTGAAACAACAACAATGGGCTCAATGCCACGCAACATCGGCAGTGTTGCGGCAACATTTGCACACGTTGTGTTTCCGGTACACGGATATGCACACACACACACACACACACACACACTTCGAATGGAAACATCGCAGTGTGGATGTGTGGGTTTTCGTCGCATTCCTTACGCCTCGCCCGCCCGCCCGGCCCCAAAGGATATGGCCTGATAACAAGAATGTGCCTGTGTGTGTGTGTGCATGTATTTACTTACATATGTACATATGTATGGATGTGCATATTTTATGTAAGTGTATTTCTTGTGCGCGAAAGAGCCGCCGCTTTGTTGCCGCACGGTAAGTATAAAACAGGATGCGTGGCCAACACCAGCCACAGACGTCTCGAACTTATTTCACGGGCAGCAAGTGGCAAGCGTTCGCTCGGCAAAACACCGGACGGACACACGGGCAAAGCGGCGGCACCGGCATTTAACGTCATCTCATCAAAAGTCAAAGCTACACTTTTAACTATTTGTGGCATCAATCATAGTGGTGCGGCGGTCAGGTCAGTCTGCGTCCAGTTAGCGTTGGCCAAGCGGAAAACTACAATTTGTTTTTTTTTGCTCCGTCACCGAACGGAAACGGATGTTGTGTAGTGCTGTTATCGAACAGTTAAACTACTATAAAAAGTTAAGCAACAACAAATTGAAACTAAAACTGAAAAAAGTGCAGATCGATTTTAAATAAGTCTCAATTGAGCCCGTTCCAATGATTGAATGATTGTTGTGCCGCGAAATTTGCTCTTAAACTTCGGTGGTTTTAAAAGATATTCGCAGCCAGTAGCTGCAGTGTTGCACGACTCGACACTCTCGGCGTTGTACGCATTTGACGGCTTTTGACGGAGCGTTTATATTTTTACGCGCAACTCTCGAAGTCGACGCTGGCTCGAAGTGGAAATCAAAAAGGTGATTTATTTACAAACTATTTCACAAAGTTCTTAAGTTTTACTAATCCCGCCAAGGTTTACTTATCTAAAGTCATTAAAATGTGTTGCGGAATTTTGTGGGCATTGAAAGGTTTTCAGTCTCTTCCCACGCAAAGGTAAATTAGTGATTGCGAGTACAACAACAGTATAGAGGTGGGGTAGTTTTGCGGTACAATATAGTTTTTATTAAGGATTTAAGACGTTACGAATTTCAAAATTGTTCTTTTGGTAAAAAAGGCATCACCTATACAGGGTTAAAAAACTTCCGAACTATTTAAACTTAAAATATTCCAGAGAGGCTGGAGTTCTCAACTCGTGCATAAAACACCGTTTACGCGATATTTTTAAGTTTAGCTTAAGCTGTAGAAAGATGTATTTTTGAAGTAAAAAAAAATATTAAGTTGAACAGAACTGGGAACTGTTCGAAAGGAAACTCAAATTTACGCAATTTGTTTATACCGTGACTATTTTTTGTAAGATTAGCAAAGTTTTTCATGCAAAATTTTTTTGTTAATTTTGTATTAAAACGTGGCTTATAAAAAAAAAAACATTTCAAATATGAAGCTGTGTACGAAATTTAGAAGAAATCTAAAAAGTTTCATCAAAATGACAAATTTTTAAAAAGTATTTAAAAAATTAAAAATTTATTTTTAAAATTAAATAAGTATGCATTCAATTTTAATATAATAATGTGCAAGTTTCAAGTGTCTTAAAATTGGTGTTGATTTTTGAAAATTTTTTTGCTGACTGTCTTACTGTTTTTTTTTCATATAATGTTTGTTTATATGGATAAAATTATATAACGCCGCCAGAAAAAATATGATACAAAAATTAACACGAGTTTTAGAACATCACATCATTTGTACATTTTTATACTCAAGTTGAAAGGGTATAAAACTGCATACTTTTTTTTTAGAAATTCTTTTGTAAAAAGTTTCGACTTTCGACGAAATTTTGCAGAAAGATATTGCGAATATTTAAAGAAAAAATCACCGCATGCTCAATTTTATGAGTAACTGTATACACTTAGGTCTCTTTTTATGCGGTACATGCGTTCCTCAGAAAGTCGCATAAAAAAGTTCTTTACTTTCATACAAAAACAGGGGATGCGTTGCAGCATTTTCAAAAATCGCATAAAATCAGATACTCCGTGTAAAAATTCTAAAAAATCGCATACAAAAATCCATTGAGGCAAATTAAGCAAAAAAAAAAAAAAAACAATTTATTTCTTCACTTCAACACTTATTATTCCATATAAAACTGAACATTAATGAAATAAATAAAATTTTATCTGTACTTTAACCAAAAAATAAAAAAATAACACAATAAATACTTGAATTATGTAAAAATACAAAGACAAATTATTTATCAGAAGCATTGTCCCTTACACACTGAAAAAAAGGCATAAAAACTCACAAAAAAAGCAAAATCACTAAAGCGCAAAAATGGTTTGAAACCCCGCATAAAAGGAGACCTAAGTGTATTTCAGATTTACATGTTTACCAACTGTCCTTTATTGGAATCCATAAAAGGCAGATAAAATTATGAAATGTATTACAATATGGGTAAATCAACTTTTCCATAGTCCAACAGAGAACAAGGCAATCATGACTCGATCGACAGCCGCTGTCTCCTACATTTCTTATGCGAATAGGATGTTTCTTTTTTTGTATAAAATATGGTCTGCAGTAGTAGCTTTTGTGTTCCTTGGCTGCCGAGTCGAATTTGAGAAGTACTTAGACTAGAGTGCCACCTAGCGGGAAAATAAATTCTTTTTCATTTCCAGTTGAATGTGGGAAAATTTAATTTCACTCTGAATTATTAAGGATAATGTTGGACGATCTTGTTCCCCCTGACCATAAATTAGTCGCTATTCAGGTTTCTTCCGATGGTGTAATGCTAGATTGTTAACTTGTATGGAAGTCTTACGTTGAACAAATGACCTATATAGCCTTAACTGCGCTTCGGCAATATAAGCAGGTTTATGGTAAAACGTGGCGTCTGTCAACTAGAGGAATCCTTACATCTCTGGTGTGGTGGCGCAGAATCTCAATCAATGGCGTGTGAGATCTGCTTGCCAAACTTCAAAGGACGTTCGCACTGTGATGTACGGGAGCTTGCGCCGCAACACCTGAGGCTGATATGGATGCAGTGCTCAACCTACCGTCATCCGCGAGGTGGAAATTTCTGAAGGAAGAGATTTAAACTTGAATGGCTTTTCAACGCCACAGGATAGTACGCTACCGTTGCCTTTGCTGCGAAGATACTACAATGTCGAGTTCATTGAGGCTGAGTGCCGGTTTAACAGCAATACTGAGCCCGGCTTACACATTGTAGAATCTTTACTGATACTTTACAGTATCTGCAGTCTTAATCGAAAGACCCGAAAACAATCATCTCTTCTAAGGCCCTGGACCACTCTCTAACTACTTCCAAACCAGTTTGGTAATTATGTCGGATAACACAACGTAAATGTTTTAGTCTAGGTGCCAGGTCAGTCGGGATTACCTGGTAATAAGGCAGCTGACAACTTGTGGGACTGTTGACTCTCCACTTCGCGTGGAGATAAACACCTGACTGTGATAGACATGCACGGCAACCCCATTCGCCCTTACTGCGCTCAAAAGGATGAGACAGCGACATACTTTTTTTTCTTCCGCAGGGGCTTTTTAGGGATTGGGCATGAGGTCTTTGACAGCGAAGTGCTGAGAGACAGACGCCTGAGCTTGAAATTTCAATGAACGCTGAGGTGTAGTACATTAAAAACTAAACTTTGCCACACTGTAGCATAAAACTAAAGTGACACTTGATACCGTAAGCAAGGCACAAAAAATATGTATGTATGTATGTATGTAGGTAGACCTACATAAATATGCCTTTTTACGTTAACAGCACACACAGCAGGTTAATGCATTTAGTAAGATTATTGCCCATGATATTTTCCAACGTTATTCGCGCTTTAAATAAAAGCAAAAACCTACCACCGTAAAAGATAATAATAAAATAAAAAAAATTAACATATGAAACAACGTTGTTAGCGTTAACTTTTAAGACGCCTAACCGACCGAAATTTGAAGAAAAGTAAAACGGCAAACAGAAAAGTCAACAATGCGTGCTAAGTACATAGTACACAAACAACAAATGCTGGTAAAGCCCGGGCTATTTATTGACCAATAGCGCAACGTGGAAAGATGCGTTTGCTTAACGGTAAATATTGACTGCAGCGGCCAGAGTTGTTACACGCAGCTACATATTTCATACATATTTATTTACGCACATATATGTATATGTAATGTACGTGTCTACATGCAAGTGTATGTATGTATGTACAAATGATCAAAGTCTTTATTTAAGCTACGCACAGCAGAGCAGAGTTTACTTTAAAGACTCAAATACGAACGGAAACTAAAATCTATAAATACTTTTGTAAACATTTTATATTACTATGCAACTCCATAGCACATATCTAACTGTATTTCGTAGAAGAAAATCAACTATAACGGCAATATTTTTAATACAACAGGTTTTATTAGATTTTGTTACACAGTGTGCATCCGTTTGAAGCGTTTTCATATCGAACTGACAGACATACAAATTCAAATTTTTTATTTAACTAAATATATATTTACATAAATAGCAAAGTGTTAAAAATTGTGTTTTTGCAAAAACGTAAATTTAATAAGAAATTATTTTTCGGAAAGAGTCTTGGTTAAGCCGACAAACCCTCGAATGAGCTGCGGCAGTTTTAGGAATAAAATTAACAAAAAGACGGTTTTATTGTAGATTTCGGCAGAATATCTATTCCCAAACAACATATTTTGGAAGGAAAGAAGTTACCGCAAGTGAATATTCAGTCACATAAGTCACAGTCAAATCAAATCAAGTTGTAGTTTTCGCAAATCAAATAAAGAACTATTTTCGAAAATTAACCATATTCATTTTTAACCAGTTAGGAAATTCTATTTGTTTACTAATTTGATATACAAAAGATTTAAAAATAAAATTGGCACCGTGTCCCGAAAGGGCCCCAAAAACCACTATTTTTTTTTGTATGGAGATTTTTTAGTTTGCTCCATATTACTCATAGTGTTTGTAATTTTTGCAGAGCCATGCGGCTTTTAAAACCTGGTTTTATTATATTTTCAAACCGAACGCCTAATCCGCAATCGACTGTGGGTCAGAGGTCGGCAAACGGTTTGCAAATAAGCGGTTGTTTTAAATTTTTACAATTTTTGAGTTATACATCCTCTAAAAAAAGGAAAATAAATTAACGAAATAGGCCCGAAAAGGAAAAATCAAATAGCGAAAGGGGAAGGAAAAGGCACTAGAAATCGCAAAATTCATATTATGCCCTTTACAATTAAGAAAAGGCAAAAAAAGGCAACACCAAATGTGTATATATGGAATCAGGGAAAGCTAAATCGTAGTGTAAATCATTCTTAATCGAATATACTCTATCTCTTTAGCAGAAAAAAAAGTGCCTAAAATTGTATGGAGATATTTGCAAAATATATCTGAAATTGAGAAATTTTCTCGAGGTCCTTTCACATAAATCCTTATATCCCGTAACATAACGTCATGTAAAATAGATGAAAATGCCTCTATTATAACGGAAGAGTCGCGCTTTCAAATAAACTTGGGTTTTAATGTTTACGACAATTTTGATAAAAACTAAAAAAAGTTACACGGTTTAGTAACGAAACTTGCTGAAGGACAACCACTCTGTGCTTTATCCCACAACACCCACGGAGCCCACGGAGCCCACGACTGAGCTACTCAAAACCGGCAGCTGGTCGGGCGCGTATTCAACTTTAAAGGCGCATTTGGCCTGATGAATACTTGCCCGAAAGTGAAAGGTCGTCGTGGACCTTTGACCATTCCACTAGAAGGATCAGTTTTCTTAGTATTGAGTATTAGGTCCTGGCGACGATTCTGTGTGCAACGCTCAGATTCTTCATGAGCGAATTGGTTGCATTTAATCAGCGTGGCTTCACACCAAGCCAATCCACCAGTGCGTCACCCCGCGGAGAACACCTTGAATAAGAAAATCGACCCCATTACCTTTACGCCGATTTTGAAAGCAGATGCCTTTGCGACGCCATGTCTCAATTTCGGGGTAAAGTATCCCCTTAACTTATTTTACATATTTAATTAGCAAAGTCTGCAAAGGCCACCGCTTGGATGGGCGAAATAGCCCAGTATGCCCCTTTTTGGTTATAAAAAAACTCCTAGTTTTCGCCAACATTTGAGTAAAACTTATGTGACATTGTGGCTATGTACTTGTTGCATTGTATTTATCGTAGCCATCGCTGCTGTGTGTGTGTGTGTGTGTGTGCTCGTGCATCCGTACACCCATCACGCGGATGTCGCCTTTGCATTTGCAACATTCACGCATTATGATTTATGAACTGTATGCTGCTCTCTAAGTCCTGCGGTTGTGGTTGATGCGAAGCGAGGTGAACAATGTACATGTGTATATGTATATGTGTGTGTACATATGTATGTAGTACGAATGTATGCTTTCTCTTTCTCTGGAAGAAGTAAATCTTCACAGGTATTTTTGAACTTTATCAAGCTGGCTTTTCCGATGTCTCAAGCCCATCGCATTGTCGCATATCCTGTGGAGGACATGCAGCCGAAGTGGATTCGCATTTGTTTACGCTCGTGTTTTTAATTCGTTACTGCACCCGCGCGTGTGTGCGTGTGTGTGTGTGTGTGTGTATGCGTCCAAGCTCACATGAATTTATTTGGAGAGTGTGAGCTTGCCATACCTATGCATACACCTAGACGTAAATAAAAAAAGTTCCCCAACGTTGGCACAGTTTCGCATCGCATAGTTCTCATATCATCAATCTACCGCATATCTGTTCACATTTGGCGTTTCAATTTGTTTCTATTATTGTTGCTTATTTATTGTGGCAGCTTGGAGGCGCATTTGTATGAAAAATTATTATTTCACATCTGTCGAGCAGATGCGAATGTCTCCGTCAGTTAGAGAATCCAGCCGAGGAGCGGCGAACGGAGGACGATGCATGCACTTGATCACTGTTGTCATCCAAGTTATGTTGACATTTTGTGTGACAAGTGTAAGGTATCTCTACTCACGCACATACAACCATACACCCAAACAGTGGGTGCCACTGAAAGGTATACCTCTTTCCATAGATGCAATAGACGAATAGCTAGTTGCATGAGGCGAACCGGTTTTTGGATTGGTGGTTTTGAAAGAAGCTCTGGTAATCCTGCACCATTTCAATCTATTTATAAGCGCTGAAACGCGGCGAGCCAATCAAAAAATTACGGAGACAATTAATATCAATGCCAGAGAGGTTATGAGGACTGCGGTTAAAATACGCGCCAAGATATTTCCTAGTAAAAAGTGTTGAGCTGAAAGATCAGACACTCCCTGCGAAATTTTATGGACGTAGAGGCTTACTTACTTCATTTATTGAGGTCACTCTACTAAACAGTGGGCCCAATGCCTTTTTACTGGCAGGAATCTGGAACCATGAACTTGATGTCTATGGGCATTACGTTATACCAACAATCCCATCAGACACATCCGCGAAAAGTTCAAATTGCAAGCGAAGCCTCTAATCGAGTTACATTCGTATTACTAGTTAGCTCTTACTAGGATTGGTGAAGAGTCGGTTGGTTGGTTTGAACTCAGAGATTACCTAGTGGATTAATTATTACTTCCGACAATACGTTGTTAAAAGGCCCCACCATGTTGAAGTAGGACCTTCCTGCAAAGCTTTTATATGTGAAGGCTTCCTATACCCACAGACCTCTCTACACTTCACCTACACGTCGCCTGGATTTCAACTCCAGCTTTATAATATTTCCAGAAAAAGGTTGGTTGGCATCTCCGGGCTCTATTAAAGAGTGGTCTCCTTGACAGCGTCAGATCAGAAGGTCCGCCGTACTCTGGAGGAGATACTCTCTGCCTTTACGGAAACTTAGGTGAGAACAGAGACCCAACTAGCTAAAACTTAACTTATTTTATTGAAGCTCTCATAAGTTAAGATCATTAAAACCAGACTTTTATGGTGATTTTAAAAACAAAGTTTATAGCATCGCATTCAACAAACAAAAGACAACAAAAAGTGTTCTCCTGGTGCCACTTGTTGCACACTATGGATGGATGTTTGTATATAAATGTTGCTGAAAAGGTACGACCGCACTAAGCGACGCACTACGCGACACGGCGCGACACTTTTTGGTATACCGCACTGAAACTGCAGCGGCGCGACACTTCGCTGCATTTTTTTTTTATTTATTTGTGTCAAAATCTTCAAGCGAAATGGATGCCAGTGATGTTAATGCCTTTTATTTTTGCTTTCCTTTGCGAATTTTCCTCAAATGTTATGTTTATTTACATAAAATTTTCTTCTTAAATGAAATGCATGTGAATATTCACTCACAATTCGAAATCAATTTCTTCAACTTAAAAATATAGTACGAAATATTAAGTCGCTCCGCTGGGTATACCGCACTATGCGGCACCGGAACTGACGCAACATTTTTGCCTACTTGGTCAACTTTGCCGCGCTGCGTCGCGTCACGTCGCGTAGCTCCGCTGCAGCGTAGTGCGGTATGCTCCATAAGAATCCATGCAAAGAATATTTTGCCGCGTCGTTGTGTAGTGTCGTGTCGCGTCGCCTAGCGCGGTCGTACCTTTAATCTGTTGCTGCTGCTGCTGTGGCTGGCTGTACTTCTGAGTGCTTCATTCGCACGCGCTTTTGCGCTTCATTGGCGTCACAAGGAATGCTAAAACATTAATACTAACAATGGCTAATTAGCGTTGCATGCGGCTACTACATATAATGTGGCATCGCCATTACGTTCCTATCATGGGTATATACTAACTTTACATTTTTAATAAGTTCATGGGCGCTGAAGTATGATTTAAGGATTCTTAGTGGCGGCTTCTTTGTCTTGGTCTTCGTCTTTCTCTGCACTCTATTTACTTGTACGTAGTTTCGCGGATGCCGCAGAACATTCTATAATTAAGTAGTAAGGGGTATCAGATATTTATTGTTGGCCCTATTGTTGCTTGACTGACTAAGTGCGAATTGTGAGTTTCACACCACGCATCAATGTTTATTCGTTTTGTTGTTTATAGTAGATGCTGGTGTGCTATGTAAGGCATTATAACTCATCTCAAATTTGTTAGCCGCGTACTTTTATGATTAACAGCGGCGACTGGTAATACTGTTACGGTCTTGTTATTGTTGTTGTTGTTGTTGTGTGAACGTCATGTTGGTCTTTGGTTTGCTTAGTTTTTATGACAAGTGGCGGGGGGGGGGGGGGGGGGGCCTGGGTGATGATTTCGTCAGCAATATTTATTTAGTTACTTTTTTAATTTGAGTATATATCTGAAACATTTAGATTCTAATTTGAGGTAATATTTTCCAAAGGTACATTCAATTTGTCAAAATGCGAAAAGGTGTTATCATTTTTAGAACTGACATTACGAGCGTGCATAACGGTTAAGTACATCTTCTTCTTCTTACTTGGCACTACTAACGATTGCCGGCTTAAGATGAGACCAAAGAAATCGCTATTTCAGAAATTGCTTCAGTTGTGTATCCCAAATGCTGATAGATCCTTTTGCATTTAAGACTTCTCATCTTTGTTCGTCAGAGTCCATGATTCTGTGCCATTTAAAAGGATAGGTGAAATATTTGTGAAGCGTGTCGAGAGAAATTCTTCTCTTGACCTACAATGTGACATTTTTGGTGGCGGCTATGCTGGGTCCAAGGTATACAAAGTCCTTCCCACTTTCAAAGTTATAACTGCCGACCATGTGCCCCAAAATGCAAAGACTCTCTGTATGCCGCCAGAAGGTATTTTTTAATTTCCTCCATTCAACGCTACTTTGGCTCCTTTGGAGAATTTGGCGCTGATGACCCTGGCTATGCAGTCGACGGTGCTTTTTTTATAAAAAGTATATATATATATATACATCAGATTGAAGAAAAAACCTCTTTTGACCTTGAACAGAATTACTTTTGTCGGAGTCTCAAATTTAGAATGATAACTTCTCTTCATGTTATCAGAAAAATTAAATTAAATTAAAAAAAAAAAAGATGATCAGTGCCGAATTATTAACTAGGACCTTACATTGTGAAAATCTAGTCAAAATTGGATTTTCTAGGCCTGAATCTATTCGTTACGGTCCAACTAGTTAGTTCATGAGCCTTTCCCACAGTATCGTCATTAAGATCCCCATATTGGGGATAGGAGATACTACACTGTTGTAAGTAGATTAGAATCAATAGTAAATTGTAACAATATTGGTATCAATAAGAATAATTATGTCCTACTATACAATAGTTATAACAAAAGCGATAGTTTATGATAAAAGTAAGGGCAGCAAAGTCAATATCGATATCGATAACTGAATCAGTATTTATAGCGACCAGGCTAGGAAACAGTGAAAGCAGATGCAAATTTATGTTTCATGTTGCGCACCTTGAAACCACTAACTCGCTTTTGCCGGCTCGGCTAATCATTTATTTTTTAGAGTATAGAGAATAACAACAAACACCGCAACTCAATATTTAAAATTTTTTATTTCCATCTCCATTCCAGCGCCGAACGACATCGCCTCCAATACAATATGAGTCCCCTTCTGGTCTTCTTCCTCTATATCATTCAGTTGCAGGCAGCAATTCGAAGTGAAATTATCGAAACTCCAAATATAAATCTGAACACTATTTCCGAATCTGAAGACGACGATATACAAAGTAGTGACTCCATAGAGCGAAAAAGCACCACCACCACCACTGTGGATCCACTTGATCTACCTTATGTGAAGACTACTCGCGATCAAACAGAAGTAGAGTTTCGTTATCCGATTGCATCATTGAACATTGATTACTCGAAGAATTTAATTATATTGAAATTCCGCAAATCTAAAGCCGATGACGAAGAAGCGAGGCGTCGAAAATCGCTCGATGAAAATTTTATGCGCTTCGGACGCGCGAATTCGGACTTCATGCGCTTTGGTCGCGATGCTGCCGATTTTATGCGCTTTGGGCGCAGTCCTTCGGATTTCATGCGCTTCGGCAAGCGATCACTTGAACAGATACCAAAAGTGAACAGCCTTGATCATGAGTACAATTACGATAAGGATGCCGATACGAGTCGCCGCTTTGAGCGCAGCCAGGAGGCTATACGCGACTCGCGTGGCGACAATTTCATGCGATTCGGGCGACCAGCTGAGGACTTTATGCGCTTCGGACGCAGTAGCAGCAACGATTTCTTACGTTTCGGACGTGCTTCTGGCGATTTCATGCGCTTCGGCCGAAATCCCTCGGATTTTATGCGCTTTGGACGCGGCGGTTCTGATGATTTCATGCGATTCGGTCGCAGTCCCGACTTTATGCGTTTTGGACGCGCACAGAAGGAGAGACGTGACACCGATAGAGATTTTATGCGCTTTGGACGACCAGACAACTTCATGCGATTCGGAAGGTCATCCGGTATGCCGACGGTTTCGCCGAATTTCATACGCTTCGGCAAGCTTGATCCGAACTTCATGCGATTTGGCAAGCATTTAGATCACCAAGCGCAGGAGAATACGAGTACGAAACCGCCATTGCCCAAAGAGGTGATCAAGGAAGCTGCAAAAATTTTGAACCAAGCTGAACGATTCGGTGGAGAAGGTGAAAGCAACCCTATGGATAGGGCTATCAAGGTGCTTTTCGGAAAGGAGGGAGGACACAAGCTGTCGTCCGCGCAGCGTGAAAGGGCGGCGCAAAGTAATGAAGACACTTCCAACGCCAACGAAGTGGAACCTGACTACGAGCTTAATGTGTCGCAGTGAAGACAATGATTTTGAGTCTACTACTTCAACGCTCGATTTGATGACCAATTGTAAATATTAAACTACTCCTTAGGAACTGAACTAATGAACTGGCATAGGAAAAACGGACACACATACATAGCTAAAACACACGTAGATACGAGTTATTAAGCAAACACACACACACATACAATTGCAGACACATTTTAGATAGGGTTTCACGTATATATATATGTACATACATACCCCAACTAAGTATGTGTCCATAGGCAGAAAAATGCCAACTGCAAACTGATTTTAAATTAGTTATAAATACATACATATATATATGTAATCTACTATATAGTTAATGAGTATATCAAATGTGTTAGGGGTGAATTTTTATTAGGGCTGGATTGAAAATTCACTTCTTGGAAAAGTTCCTTACTTTTTAAAATCAAAACAATTATGTATACGAATATACTGCAATGTGAAATATTAATGTACATAAATTGTGTTTATGAAATTGATTTAGACTATATAGAAAAACCTATACTTATATTCCAAATATGTAAACTAAAATATTTTAGCAACAAGTATTTACTTACTAATAAAGAAAATACTTGTACATATATAAAATTTTAAATATAATGAAGCATGAAAAAATCAAAATAAAACGAAGATTTCAAAAGCAAAAGGACATTCTAGTGGTTTATTTACTCAAAAATATTTCTTTAAAAATTTATTTACATATATACTTCTCCTTGGGGTTGTTGTATCGGCGCCTTGCCTGAATCGGCTAGTCTATCATCGACTGTCGTCGTCGTCGTCTATGCCAACCGGATCAAATTTAAGCCCGAACCTGATTTGTGAGAATGCAAAAATGACTTATGGAGCGCATATGAAGTTGATCTGCCTCCAGCAAGTAGCAAGTTGGGTGCTCCCTTCGGTATAATAAATTACGGGGAGGCGGCCGCAGAAGCTATCCCATTGCTGCCCGAAGGCCGATGATCTGACTGTATGTCTCGTCCACTGCGTCCTATCAGTCCCCGATGATCAAGCTGGCGAAACATTATTTCCATAGAATCGGTAGGCTATTTAATTGAATATTGCCAAAAACGATGTTGCGTTTATGAATGTATCCTCTTGAAAGGAATAAAGACGTTGTGGACGTTGAATATTCGCCAGGAATATTTCTATAACAGTTACAGCTACAAATCTTATTAGCAAAAATCGATCTTTAACAAATATTTTTTGACTTTTATTTAATGACTCTTTAAATAACCGTTATTTTCTGACTTTTATTTTATAAATCGAAAATAATAATTGTTTTTGATTTTTGTCTAAATAATCTGCAAATAACAGTTATTTTGTATTTTTAAATTATATGTCTTAGATAAAAGTTATCGGAGACTTTTATTTATAAAAGACATAAATAAAAATCAGTCACTAACCTTTATTTTTTAAATCATACTTTTAAAAAAAGTCATTTGTATAACTCGTAATAAACTTACGTTTCCCAACACCTTCTTAACTTCGAAAAATGTTAATGACTTTTATAGGAATGATTTAAAAAATAAAAGTTAATGACTGATTTATATTGATGACTTTTAAAAGTAAAACTCACTGACTGTTATCTAAGACATATAATGTAAAAATCAAAAATAATTGTTGCTTTTTTATTTTGCATAAAATTTGCAAAAAAAATTATTTTCAAATTTGAGTCTCGGTGAAAAAGAAATCGATTGGTATGTAGCACTTTGTTGTAGAGCATTTCCTTCATAGGGAATTTTTCCATGACAGTTTTCATCAATAACTGTTATGTTGGCTCCCTGGTAATAAGTAATAAGCACTATCAAAAAAGTCACTTTCCAACAGTAGAAAAGTATTATAGTTGGTTGGCATCAAAATCATGCCAGAGGTCATTCCAGGCGATTTTTATGTAAAATGATCTCTTGAACACGTTTTTCGATTGCCAAAGTTTCGAAACAATGCGAATTTATATTGCTTAATGAGAGTTTCAAAATATCCTGAAGCAAATATCCACGTCATCATTGCTAATTCTTATGTAAAAATTACGGTGGGTGACGGTAGAAAATGGCAAGAATCCGCAGGAAAACAATCTTAAATATGGAGCAACTTTGTTGTGCGTTTTTTTTACATATGAGTACATATATAAATATGCGTGCGCATATGTATGTATGTATGTAGGTATGTATGTGCAATCAGACTTATCGTGATTAAGTTTCAACATCAAAGTGCAAAACGAAAAATGACACTGTTGATTTTTTTTGATTTTATGCAAATTTGGCAAATAATCGAATTACAAAAGACAAACTTAAAACATTTTTATGCCTGCTATATTTAGGCAAGAATAAAATATAATATGTGTACATGTATGTATGTATGTATGTATGTAGGCACTGGCATGATTGCGCAATCGAACATATAAATATGCATAATTCACAGAGCACACGAGAGCAGAGCAAAGAGCTCTACATTGATGTCAAAAGTGGAAGATTTGGCGAATATCGTTTCGAGAATAGTATATATGTGTAGGTATGTATCCTTTTTAATAAATCCCAAGTATGAATTCCTTTTTTCGCATGCAAATTTTTTCCCCATCCACAGGGGGCCAGAAGACATTCAAAAACGGCCAAAAGACAACTTAAGAATTTTAATTTTTGTATGCTATTAGCCAAAATACGCAGTATTTAAGGTAACTATTTTGTTTTTATTAATAAGATGCAGTAAAATAAAAATTAGAAAAACATAATTTAAAATAGCCTTAGCTTAAAATAATTTGACTTGTTTTATTGAGTCAGGCGTTCATTTTAATGAATTGTGCTCGCTGTCGTTTAGCAGTACTTCTGTGTACCATCTCACATCACAAAAATAAAGCATGAAATCTATTCTGCAGTAAATGTACATTATTATAAATTTGCTAAATTTTACACATTTTTTTTTTTTTTATTCATCTTCTTCACTGGCGCTGTAACCGCGTGAATTATTTTGGTTTCATCCTTTAAATGTGTTTCTGGCTACGAATAGATAAGTAATTCTAAATTTTTAGTTTTACGAGTTGCTGAGATAAGTTCCGAGATGATGAGGAAGAATAAAACATAACTTTATTTTAAAACCGAAATTAAATTTTTTTTTTCTGAGAGAAGCATTCAACACCCTAAATTTAATGAAATTAAAGAAAAACTTAAAAAATGAATAAAGAAAAGCAAAAACAAATGAATACAAAATACAATACAAAAGCGAAGTCTAAAAAATAAAAAAAAATTAAAAAAAAAATCAAAAACAAAGTAAAAAATAAACAAAAAAAAAACAAAGCGAAGTCCAAATCGTAATTAGTAAAAAGCCATAAAAAACAAAAAATGCAAAATACAAAAACAAAAATTTAACAGTGAAGTCTGAAGAACCAAAAAAAAAAACCAAAAAAATCAAATAATTTTTTATGCAGGCCGTATCGGTTTTGCGATTTCTAATTTCTGAAATGCAATGACAAATTCGTGATCAGTGAGCCCAAAAATTATAGAGTAACAAGTTTCAAGCCAATCCGATTACTTTTCACAATATTGTCCACTATATTGGATCCACCATTTTGAACTTTTAAAACCTTCTGTAGCAAGTTTTAAGCCATTCCGGTAAAATTTCGAATATTGACCACTGTTTATCGTTTGCTGGCCCATAGTGCAATCTGGTATTAATTTATACGCCATGTCAGACTATGCTGAGCTTTCTCGCTATTTTTATACACCTCTCTGATATTGGAAAATTTTGTTTGATGGTCTAACAGCGTCACATTAAGGTGCCATCAAATTCACATAATCGGTAGACAAGATTCACAAAGCTAAAAGAGCAAATCGTTATTTTAAGCAGCTAAAGTGTTCAAGTATTGACGGCGCTGTCGAATGCACTAAATATAATACATTCATCTATACATACATACATACATGTATGCTAAGTATTTGGCGTTGCTTCCTTCTCCTTCAATTAATTCGTGGTCTTGATGTTGTAACTCAAAAAGGAGGGACCACCAAACAGCAAATGGATTGCAAAATAAGCTTTTTAAAGGCAGAAATGCACTCGGAGGTTTGTTGGTCGAGAGGCGACCGCTGTTAGAGAAAACGTTTTCTAATTTAGACATTTCTCGGATCGGGTATCGAGCCAAGGTCCTGATGAGCTTATTTCCTCTACTCTACCAAGAATGGTTCCGTGTGAGTTCGATATCGATGCATAAATGAACGCTTCCTCCGTGCGAGCCTTCTCCTCCCAATGCGACTTCGCAGGCTCCGGAATTGCGTTCGATCTTACCCTTCACATAAATGCCAGTATGCACATGTATGTACGTAAGTATGTTGTTACATTTTTATGGCCAATTAGCGTTACACGATTATGACCAACAGCTACCACGACGCACTAACACTTTACTCGTACGTAATACATACATACATATACATATATATTGCAAGCAAGTAAATTTGCATTTTGCTCATATTTATGTTTGTGTGTATAATAACTGTTGACTTAACGGTGGTTTAGCCATCTTAATATTTACATACTTTTACCACCGCTTCACGACTACAAACAACTACAAAGTTAGTAAACGCAGCGAAGTGAGAATTGAAATTTTGCGCCACACAGCTAGCTTGCCGTTGTTGCTGTTGCTGTTGCAGGCTGCCTGCCGCATTGTTGAAGGCGTTAATACATCTCAAATTTGTTAGCTGCATAATTTAATTTGCCTTTTAGTTTGATTAAGTGCAACTTCCTACGCGCCCATATTGTGCCGTTGTTTTTCACAAGAAGGCAGATATGCATATACAAAAACAAAAAAAAAAGTTTAAAAGGAAATTAGTAAAAAATAATACTTTATACTTTTTCCATTCTTATCCGCATTATGGTAAAGTTTGCAACTACATACAACCGACAAGAAGAAATGGATTGTTAACATCACATAAAACAATCTAAGGAGAATAAAAAAAAAAAATAAATATTTAACATGGAAGACATACATACCCTGAGGTTCGGCTCCACCGGTGCGTGCGCCACTAACCATTTCGCTAACTCGCCGGAATGAGTGCCTAGCCACAAACTTGGCAACACCCATTCGTTTGCCTAACGTACTTTTTCAACATGGGGAGCGTCCCGAGCGGTACGAAGTCGCATTATCCTGCCCTAGCGCCAACAGTAGGTTGCACAGATAAGGCATTTCCATCAATTATGCATAGGTTAGAAATAAAAGAGTCTGATCCTTTAGCCAGATGCACAGCCTTACTTACTACTAAGTATGCGCATATAGACGCAAATTACTAAGCTGGTAAATTATTAAGCAGGTACCGAAAATAATAGTTATTTTACAATTTTCAAAAAAAACATCAAAAGCTTCCAAATATCGTAAACAGTTTCGAGTAAATATATATCGAGCCCTAATAGCCAAAATAACGTAAGCGACATTTTTTCAAAATTTTCTTTTTGATGTAGAAATATTCCTAGAGCATCTAGATGCATGTCTGCATCAAAAAGAAAATTTTGAAAAAAATGTCGCTTACGTTATTTTGGCGGTTAGGGCTCGATATGCACATTAAGGTGGGCCGAAAACCCGCTTTTTTAGAATTTTGATTGCTAATAGCAAAAATATGCTCTAAAAAAATATGTGTGAAATATGAAAATTTTTAGGTCAATATCATAGGCTCGCCCAAGTCCATCAGAGTTCAATGTGCTCCAAAAATAAAAATTAATTAATAAAATTTTTTAACTTAAATTGCAATTATCTTCGAAAGTATTAGTGCCTTTTTGACAGAGGTTCGAAGTAAGCTAAGAAACAATTTTTTTAGCACTTGAGCTTTGATGGACTTTGACGAGCCTAAGATATTGACCAACAATTTTAATCCATGTTTTGCTATTAGCAATCAAAATTCGAAAAAAGCGAATTTTCGGCCCACGCTAATGTACATACATACATATGTACATATGTGTTCGTTATATGATGTATGTGTTTGTTTGTCGTTCTTGTCTTGTATGAGTCCGTTAAGGTTTGAAATTTTCTGAGCAATATCTATAAAAATTATAATTAACAGTCACTTTTTTATTTTTATTAATGGCTCAGGAAATATGTATAGTCATATATTGAGTTATATTTTTTGGATAAAAAATAAAACTAAATTTTCTGGAATTATTTTTTTGCTCTGAAATAATAATTATTATGAGAATTTTTTCTTATAAAAAATAATCGTTATTTTACAAGTTATATTTTTTTTTTATTAAAAACTCTGATTATCTAAATTTTTTTTTTTTTAACGAAACTAAACTCATTTCTTAAGCATTAATTTTTCTCAGAAATAAAAATTAATTTTTGAGCTTTATGGCAGATCGAAAACTCAAATGCCACAACACTTTGCTAGCAATTCGTCTACAAGACTGTTACTTTATCTCCAGAAATCACCCCCACTCCAAGATGGAGCTGCGCTTGACAATGGATGCAATATCCAGATAAACAAACATTCTCAGAGGACAGACGGCATCTATCTTCCAACTTCGCAAGGGACCTGGATACTATTGGGCCTTCGTCAGGAGCATCGACTGCATCGTCTGCACACTGTGAGTCGGATAGCAACTTGATCCCTGGCTCTATTAGCGTTTGCTTTTTAGGGCTAAGAGAAGTCGGTGTAATAAGTCAAATCGGACTCTCGGTTTACTTTAATTTTAAGGATGAGAGAAGCGTGCCCTAACTGTGTGTGGGTGTAAAATTGCTAAGAACACTACAAAGAAGCTTCCATCGGACAATATCAATGGGAGCTTGTTCAAATGCGGCATTGGAGTCACTTGATACTTTGGATAAAATAGTAGGGTTAGAGAGATACGATCCGACTCCATGCCAAAATATATCACTGCAAGACCACTGCGGGATCACGTTGCCGACGCATTGTCGAGGAATGCTCAGCGTATACCCTTATGGGGATTTGCAGCAGCTACCACATATGAGGAACCCTAGAACGCAGTAAGTACCTACTGGGAGCGGTTTGGGGACATAGCTATATAGGTAGGATATATTATATATATATAGATAGCTCAATGGGTACCTAACAGTCTGCGCTCTCACATGCACCGCCCAGGAGATGGAATGTCGTCGAAGTACATCCTAATTTATCCGCAGTCGAGTCCCTTTAGGAATTCGTTTAGCAAGGTGCTGTTAGCATTTATTAGGGAAGCCCATACAAAGTATCTTGGACCGTCTGGGCTAGGGCGGTATCATAGGGATACAACAAGTTTTCTAGGTTGCACTGCCCTTTTTGCTGTTAACTTAATGAATTAATTAACTACCTAAATAAATAAAATTAATTAAATAATGTAATACATATTAAATAACAGCGACAATTTGCTCTTAGCATCTCTCCAATCAACATTCCACACAACATCGTCATCCGCTTTGGCTTGCTTGCTAACGCAGCCAAGACAACAACCATTGTCAAAAACACCTTTGACATTTCTTATCAGCCTAAGCAGCAAAAATCAGGTTGGCAACGTACATGTGCCACACAAACGCACAGTCTGGCAGCGCCGCCAATGCTTTTTTTTTATTTTAGTCTTCCGCTAATTCGCTATTTAGATAGTAGAGTGAAGTTAAGAGAGCTCAAATTCATCAACGTTTTTCTAATTTTTTATTAGGTTTCACTTAATTATTCCGTTAAGCTAATAAATTGTTTTGGTGTATTTTGAATATATTTGTGTTGCTATAATTAGTATTAAGTAAAAAAAGAACAATTGTGCTGTAAATAACCGCGGCTGTGTGTTGCTTTGTGGTTCAGTGGGTCCAAAAGTCCAAACGACACCGCGAATTGTTTTCATTGTGTTACATTATTTATATATATATATATTTTTTTTTTTTGATGGTGTATTCCGTTGCGAAAATACTGTGATTATTTTTTGTGTCGCCTACACCAGCAACAAATTTATTGACGTAGTGCCTTGTTTACCTGCATACCTTCTACCTTTCCAATAACACGTTGAAACAATCAACATGGCTACCTTTCTGAGGCTGGCAAAAGGTGAGTTTATGTTGAAGAGTTTGTGGAGAACCACCAGCAAGAGGCTTGCTTACATAATTTGATAGCTAACAATAACAGAGTGTAGTTGTGTGCATCAGAAGAGTGGAAGAGAGGAGAGGAAGAGACTGTTAGTGAGCGTTGCATTCTCGTACTATAAGTACATGGCTACATACATATGTATGTATGCAACACACACACCCCCTTTTCCAAATTAGTTTTTAAACGAATTCCTAAAGTGACTATACACGTAAATTTGTGTTGGTATCTACATTTGGCTGAACTCAATTTTTGTACGTATATTCGTGTTAACTTGTTTGTAAACAACCACTTTTAAATCAAAGTCCATATTCTTATACATACGGATTTAAATTTCCGATTTGTTTAAATTTTCAAAGATTTTCTTACTCTACCTTATCTATTTGTTTGCGTTTTTATTTGCAAATAATCTAAATCTTTTTTTTATTTATTAGTTGGTTGACAGCGCTTAGTCGGCAGGTTGCATTGGGGCTGATAATTGCTTATCTCTAAATACTTTGGTTAAAATTAGCCGTTTAAATATGCTGATCTTTATTTTAATTTCATATTTTGTATTGGTATTTTAAAACTTTACAAAATTTTATGTGAGGGTGTCCCTTTGTTGGCCGACGCAAATAGGAGTAGTTGTGTAATAAAACCGGTTAAAAGTCAAATTCATCGTCATCATCTAGCTACTTATATAACCAAGTTCCCACTTCCACTTTATCTTTGAGGTACGTCAAAGAAAACATAGTCCTTTTAATGAAATTTTTTATAATTTTTTTCTGCAATTTAAGTATTTAGCTGCATTTGTTTTTTACTACTTACTTACTTTACTGCTAGGCATGGAAAAAATTTTCAAAAAACAATATTTTTTTTACTTGTCGGGCCTTGTCAGGCAATATTTTGTTTACAGAATTTAATTTTTTTCTGCTTTTTAAAGTCAAAGTCCTTTAAAAGGAATTTCAAGCAGAAATGTTCAATGTGTTGTCATAAAGAAAATCGATGTCAAATAAATAAAAAGATACAGGTCTGACATTTAATTAGGTAAGAATAACGTAACGATCGAATGTTATTTGTCAAAGATCTGTTAGAAAAAATAGATCCATCTATAGTTCTTTTCTACCTTTTCTAAGATAAATTTAATTAGTCTTTTTCCTCATAAAAGTTCCGCATACATACCAAACAGACAACCTGCCAAACTAGAGCAGTTGTATCGCCCGATATTTCTCATTTATTCAATAGTAAAGACTGTTGAGGCATTTTTACTTCCGTCCCATAAATCCCTTGAGCTAAGTAATACTTCAGCATGGCTTTCGTAAAGTTCACTTTCACAACTTTTAATGGATCGTTATGCTAGTGTTATACTACAAAAAATTTGTTTAAAATTGCGACTATAAATCGAGTATATTTTTGTTTATTTTTTAAATTGTTTGGTAAATTTACACGATGAATATGTATTTTTCTCGTTTACACATTTTCCTGTGTAATAATCGTTTTTGTTAGCGGCGTTACACAATTTTACGGGTGAAATCAAACAGCAGATGTGTATTTTGTAGCTTGTACACACTTTCGTAGTAAATTTACGCACACCACAGCAGCTATATTACACTCTAAAAAGTCCGAAATTTAAACAAACTATTCATTGAATAAGCGGCATGTAATTTTGCGAATAATAAGGTAGGAAATCAATAACCTACCTTTTAGCTAGGAAATCTACACAGGGTAATACTAGATAATTACATTGAATTTTCTTTAAACATTTTCCTAATTTCCAGAGGAGTTATGCAGTAATTTTGAGAACAAATGTTTTGCATGAAACTAGTTAATCTAAAAAGCTTTCTCTTTCGTTTCCAGCAACTAGACTCTGCCATCCATCGTTGGTGCGGAGTGCTTCAGATGCTGCCAAGTATCCAAAAATCACCACCCATTACACGATAAATCCGCGTGAGAAAGATGAGCGTTGGAAAGGTGTGACCGTCCTTTTCTTTCACATTGAAAACAATTCTCTAATGCATTGACATTTCAATTTCTAGATGTGGACATGGAGCGCTATGTCGATGAGGTGGACATTGTTATAGTGGGTGGTGGACCGGCAGGCATGTCCGCAGCCATACGTGCCAAACAATTGGCAGCCGAGCAGGAGAAGGTACGCGTTTGGCAATGGAATACTTCATTTGAATGTTAAAATATTAAAATGCTTCCTTTCCAGGAGTTGCGAGTTTGCGTAGTGGAGAAGTCCGCTGAAGTCGGTGGTCATATACTCTCGGGTGCCGTCGTAGATCCCGTTTCGCTGAATGAACTCTTTCCCGACTGGAAGGAGCTCGGCGCACCCTTAAATACACCCGTCGCCACCGATCGCTTCGCACTACTCACCAGCTCTGGGCGCATTCCCTTGCCCATCTTCAAAGGCTGGCCCATGGACAACCATGGCAATTACATTGTGCGCTTGGGACATTTAGTCAAGTGGCTGGGCGAGCAAGCGGAGGCGTTGGGTGTTGAAATATATCCCGGCTGCGCAGCCTCAGAAGTGCTCTTCCATCCCGATGGCAGTGTGAAAGGTATTGCCACCAATGATGTTGGCATCGCCAAGGATGGTTCACCCAAGGACACTTTCGCGCGTGGAATGGAATTGCATGCAAAGACAACGATATTCGCCGAAGGCTGTCGGGGGCACTTGAGCAAGCAACTAATGCAGCAGTTCAGGTTGAACGAGGACAGCCAGCCGCAGACTTACGGTATTGGTTTGAAGGAGATCTGGGAGATACAGCCAGAGAAGCATGTGTAAGTGTTGGCGAGTTGTGCTTTCCAGCACCAAAATTAAATATGAACAATAAATAAACTTTCACTGCAGAGCACACAATTGGTTGGCCCTTGGACTTTCAAACTTATGGTGGTTCCTTCCTATATCACTTGAATGAGCCCACACCCACCATTGCTGTCGGTTTCGTGGTTGGCTTAGATTACAAAAATCCCTGGATAAGCCCATTCCAAGAGTTCCAGCGTTTCAAGACCCATCCGAAGGTGCGCTCCATCTTTGAGGGTGCCACACGCATTGCCTACGGAGCGCGTGCGATCAACGAAGGAGGTTTCCAAAGTCTACCCAGTAAACTAACCTTCCCTGGTGGTTGCTTAGTCGGCTGCAGCGCGGGCTTCCTCAATGTACCGCGCATAAAAGGATCGCATTACGCGATGAAGAGCGGTGAGTTAATAAGAGCCTGCATATTTATTATTGCTTAATTGTTTAACACAAATTATGCAAACTCATAGGAATGTTGGCAGCGGAAAGTGCGGTCGAGGCGATCGCGGACGAATCAAAAGCAACTGCTGGCCTTGAACCGAAGTCTTACCCAGAGAAGTACGTGCGATTAATTCATTTAGCTCATAGTAGAAATTCTATATTTTTTTCCTCACCAGAATTCAAAACTCGTTCATCTGGAAGGACCTACGCGAAGTACGCAATGTACGCCCCTCATTCCACAACCCGCTTGGCATGTACGGCGGCCTTGCGCTTAGCGGTGTCTCCATTATCCTGCGTGGACGCGAACCCTGGACACTGAAGCATGGCCCACCTGACAATGAGTCGCTGAAACCAGCAAGCCAATGCCAGCAAATCGTCTACCCCAAGCCCGACGGCAAGATTTCTTTCGACCTGCTCTCGTCGGTAGCGCTGACCGGCACCAACCACGAGGGCGACCAACCAGCACATTTAACACTCAAAGACGATCGCATTCCTGTCGATCACAATCTGGCGATCTACGAAGGACCCGAACAGCGTTTCTGTCCAGCTGGTGTATACGAGTATGTGCCCAATGATGAGGGTGGCAACATGAAGCTGCAGATCAACGCACAAAACTGCATCCACTGCAAAACCTGTGATATTAAGGACCCTAAGCAGAATATCAACTGGGTGGTGCCAGAAGGCGGTGGCGGCCCAGCTTACAATGGAATGTAAATTATTGTAATTGCACATAAGGATCGGCGTAATATTCGTCTGCTCTTGCATTTCGTTTCAACTCAATAACAGCAATGCCGCCGGAAACTAAAACGAATAGCAATTTTGTAGATATTTAAATACTATATATAGTATATATAATTATATATGTTTATATGTAGATAGATAGAAGAACTGAATTTGAACATTGTTTAAAAGTAATTTGCTTTGTACTCAGCTAATGTAATAAAATATTTTTATATGATAAGGAAGAGCGTTATCTTCGCCTAACGAAATAGAAGTCAAGAAGAATATATATATGTGTCTGTGTTTATCTTCTTTATTTTTCAAATAATGCATAGCGTTTTAAAACGAACAAGAAAGTGTTTATACAGGCAGGTTAAAACAGAAAGTGCAAGACCGAAGAAGAGTCCTAAATACTAATATGTTACCACTTCGTAAGTGTCGAGGACTAAATGCAGACTTCAGCTGATGAAGTCCGTACTCTCATCTATCAAAATAAGTAAACAGCGAGGCCAATTGTCATTTCTAAGTTTTTTCTAATGCTTCTATTTCCAACATTTGGCGCCCAAACTAGCTGCTTAGACATGTTCCCCAAGTGACTCTTCCAGCTTAAGTCCTAAGAAGCGCTTAGTTTCACCTGATTTCTTGGACACTCGAAGAGATGGCATTTGGTGCGATCCGTTAGCCCATCCAGATTGTATGTTCGCAACTAGTCTGGCTATGTACGAATACAGCTTTCTGTGCCATAATCAGCTCCAGCCTAACTTCATTCGTCCACGTGGTGAACAAGCCCAGTAGTTCTTTAATGTTTCTCGAATCGAAAGTGAGGCTAGAAAACTATGTTAGAATTCGGTTAGAAAATGACCAGAAAAACACTAGACATTAGAAACTAATTAAAATTCAGGTAACTTGTGTGTTGTGTGTAAGTGTCTTCACCACGTGAGAGCAGAGTTTCTTTTTTGGTGTTTTAAAGGTTTCGGGATTGGTATCACTTCTGGTCTCAGGCTTAGGATTGCTGTGGGGTACTCGACTTCCGAGGCGTCAAGTGGTTTTTAGCATCGGTATAGAAATGCTATTGCCGCCAATGGATGTCGATTTGACTTTCTGGTTCACCTAACAGGTCAACCTAATATTTACGCCCGCCGCCAATTTACTGTCAACAATTTCTCATGGACAAACAACTTGTATGGGACAAACCGAAATTGAACGGCGTGCGTTTGGAGCTAAATCAACTTCAAAGATTTGTTCTGCGTGTCATTTTGATTTGACGTTTCGCACAATGAAATCAAATCCAAACGTACGCAAGCCAATTTCGGGTGATGCAGAAAGACAAATTCGACGGCGTGCGTACCAAAAAGGGATAATTCTTGCGGAGCTTATGTATTTTGCGTGAAGTGTTGCGTTTGGTTTTATCCCTGTCATGGCGTTCATTGAACTGCTGGATGGCTGTATTGTTGTAGTACATTGTCGGATTGGATCGGAACTTGATAGTTGCCCACAGCTTGCTGGCTCCGGTTTGGAGAATGCAGGTTTCTAAGTGCACTCTTCCACTTTTTCAGCTTATGTTCGCTAACGGTGCGCTCCATATCTGAATTTAGGTCCTTGGTTCTAGGATCGCCCGGCTGGGCACGGTAATTCCTGTAAGGTGAATCCCGCTTCAGCAGGCAACCAGTTCTTTGTCAAGCCATTGCTCTACTGGACAACTTGTCGCATAACGAAAACATACCAAATTATTTTTCATTTGAAATGTATCCTCAATTTTATTTATATTCTCGTTTTCTTGGGCGTCTTTGCTTAAAACATTTAGTTCACTTATTTTGAATACAATTAACTGTCTTATATATTTTTTTGTTGTTGTCCATTAAGTTTCATTTTTTCAGCTTAGCAACATCTTTTATACACTTAACAATTAGTTATAACACCATCATTCACCGTTAAAATTCACATTAAAACTTATACAACATTTTCTTTGTGTGCATATATATATATATATATATATATATATGTACATATATTTATTAGAATGCAGATTTTCTTCTTATTCCTACATATAGAATGTACGTACATGTGTACATAACTAGGTATACATTTTCAATAAATTTATTTGTCGCTATTTATAGCTTTAATTCAGTTAAAAACATACAAGTGCTGTTAGTTTGCCTAATTATTTCATTAATTTATTTATTTTTTTTATATTTATGTAATAGCATACAATTACACAGTTCAATCACTTATTTCGTATTGATTCTAAATTATCATAAGGATCATTTTTTTATGTGTATGGCGCGCGCGGACGCTTGTGTATGTATGTATGTGTGTAAAATGGCTTTGAGTTTGTTGCTCTCCAAATACTTAGCAGTGTTTTGTTATTTTTTGTACATAAATTTTGGAAATCTTTTCCGTTTTAAATGTACACAAATATACATATTTTTGTTTCTGTTTAAATTATCTTTTACATCGTGGGGCTTACCACCAAATTAATGACTTTAGTGAGCTTTTTTATCGCCCCAAACAGAACGCATTTACATACATACATATACATAAATATATTTATTATGTTTATTAGTTTCATTTTTGAGTCTTTTTTACTGACTTAAGTAAGAGTTTTATTAAAAATTGTTTCTGGGGTTGTTGTAATCAGATTTCGGAAAAGAGTAAATTAAGGTTGGCTTGTAATAAGGCGATGGGAGTACATCACTTCTCAATCGTACATTTTTGCTTTTAAATATTCGACAATAATTCGACGAGCGAACTTCCTTGAATGCACAGCCTTGTTAGCTTTCTAAGCATGCTGTACATTCACGCCCATGGCAAAAGCTCTCTTTGTCCTTCACTGTTTCAATCCCTTATGAACGAAAGCTTTAACGATGGCTTTCACATTTTTCCAGTTTAACATGTGAATATTTGAATGTTATCACAAAAGTGCCACAGGAGAAGATTTCTTTTTAAGATAACTAGTGTCGAACATACGTACATACCAGGTAAGCTGTATTTGACGGTAAAACAGTGACGCTCGATACTTAGCCCACTGCCACAGAATTTTAAAGTTTTACTTTCTTTATAAATCCGTGCACAAACTAAAAGCTCCTCCTGACCAATACTGCGCTGAAACTTTATGAATCGATATTTTCCAAAAAGGATAAAATAACCACAGCCGTATATTTCGTCTGTCATATGTCAGTAGAAGATACATAAACTGAAAATTTAAGTACATATACTACATTGTACAATAGTGTAGATTTCTTTAGAATTCTGAATACTAAACTTTAACGAAGTCATCCGATAAGAAGAAATGTGGGGCTAAGAGCAACTGAGCTATCTTTTAGTATACTAAAGAATCAGACCAACTCTGGTAAACTGCCACATACAATTTTAAACGGCTCAAGCAATTTTTTAGCATCGGGGAATTTGGTAATAAAGCTTAGAAAAATTACGTTATAGTTTTGTTTTTATTAAATATTTTTTAAACAAAGGGCTGACTCTTCCGGGGCGCTGGGACGGTTAAGGGCGGTAAGTGCCATCTGTACTTTATTTCAAACGACAACCCTTTTTAAGTGGTTGTCCTTTGACTTTACTTATTTTTTCTAAAAATTTGTTTTGTTCTTTTTCTAAAAATTTATTTTTTAAAAGTACTTTTTTGATACAATATCAGACATGAATGCATTTCATATGTAACAGTCTGGTAGATTTAAATTGTGATGAATGAAGAGAATATACAAATAATTTGGAAAACTCATTTTTGTCATTTACCTTCTCAAGGCGAGTGCGTTGTGCAAATATTACGGACTCCCTATAGTTTAGGTTAATTACGTTGGCTGCCACCCAGTATAGGGAATGTAAGGAGCCACACTGCAGCCAGAAGTCCTCTTTGTGATATATTTGAGTACACATCTACATACATATTTTGCCATGTAAATTATCCATTTATTTTCTCGTATGAAGCGGAGGAGGCTGTGATAATTCAAGGGTTTTTAGTCCGCTGAGCAATCGTTAAAATAAGTTTCAGATTAAGTTGTGGTATTTAGGACAAGTCAGGGCCGTGGCAGGGAAAGTGCTCGACGCTCTTTATCTTGCCCTCGATCCTGCAACTGCAGTGAAAGCCTTTACGCTCTTCGTCAATTGCCATTGGACAGCGTTCATTCATAAAGCCAATATCTGAGCTAAGGGAGAGTCGATCAAGACTCGAATCTGTTTCCACAAATTCGTGGCCCACTTGCGGTTGTCTTGTTCAATAAAAAGGGAGTAGTTGGTTTGACCATAATTTGCTTGACGAAATCTAGGATAGAATTTAAGGACTACCGTTCCATGGCAGATCGTTTGCAATGCTATTGCCAGTAATATTTCTGTGCCCGGGAACCCAGACTACACTATTTGTGCATAAGGTAGCCAAATCGTCTAGAACCATTCTTCTTGTTGCATTGTAGATATTAAATCGAAGACTTGTTGTTTCTATTATTCTTAACTCAGCTTTGGAGACACCACAGTACTCTGGTTGGCACTCTGGTTGGCATCCTGGTTGGATGGGTGTTGCAGCCGACTTTTCTATGTAGTTTAGAACCATCGGTGAAAGTTTAAATAGTTCCGTTTGCTTTTCAGACAATTTCTAGAAAACTTATTTTCAATGCAGGCTGGAAAGATTTTTGCCCAGTACCATTTCAACTAGTTTGAAGTTTGTTGCAAAAAGTACTGAGAGAACTTCAGGATCTTCATGTGAAGTGAAAAATAATAGGGACACGACATTTTGACCAGTTTTGTCTATTATTCTTTTTATTGTTTAATACTTACTATTTTTTTTTATAGAAAAAACAGTTGATTATCTAACAAAAATATCCAACTTTGGAGAACAATTAGAAAAATTCAACAAAATTTTACAACAACAAACAAATTTTTATTAAGAATTTTTTGGACAAAATCTAAGTATGCAGTTATATAGCCCATTTCATTGTAGCGTTGATTTTTGATAATTTTTTT